AAAAGGTCGCAACTGGTGAATCAGGCGGACCTGATAAAACGCCCCCCTGGTCACGGCCGACAAATGGTCTTCCAATGTCAGCCGTGGATCCAGGAGGACTCCCAAGTTGCGGGCCCTCTCTGAGGGGGCCAAAATTTCGCCCCCTATAGTCAGCGATGGAGTCAGCTGACTATGCCGAGGCGCCGGCAGCCACAGCCACAGCCACACAGCCACAGCCACAGCCACACAGCCGCAGCCACAGCCACACAGCCACTTTATACTTTTCTCCTTATGGCATATTAAAAATTTCAGTTTAGCAGCTACTCTGGCGATTCACTGTGGACCATATATTGTGGACCTCTGACATATGCATGCTATGTCTTAGGTATGTCCATCAATTAAAGCAGAACACAGCCATCCCACAGAATGTCATTAGAAATTTAATAAAGTTTTAAATTATTTTTTAGAATGGAAACCAAAAGTCTTGATCATTAAAAAAACCCACATTCTTAGCATAGTAAAATAAAAATTCATCATATTAAAAGAATTGAAATCTACTACATAACAACCTTCTTTGCATCTATACAATGTTATTTGCACTACTAGAAATGCTGTACACTTTTGATGAGAAGTTATTGTGTTTTTAGCATGTCTTCCTAATAGCTGTTTTACTTAAAAATATGCAAGCAAAGCAGAATACAGGCAAATGTATTCCTTCAAATAAACAATATATTTACAAAGCTAGGATCTAATTTCCAGAGAGCATTCAGGAATATCACCAATCCCCAGTTTCAGTTTCAGTCTATGTAGAAATATCTCTTATCAAATTCAAATGGCAAATCTATCTTCAAATTATTTGTGACCTCCCTTGAAGATGTTAAATTCCCTTTGTTATTAAATTCCAAAGAGATTTCCATCTATCAAGATATAACACTACTTTTATGGAAAGTAGTAAATTATAACATAGTTAGCATAGGGAATGCTAGTTTCATGCCGTGGGGTATTTTGCAGGGCTATAATTATTTAACTTGTTGGATTTTCCCCATTTTTCAGCCTTTCTCATTCAGATTCAATAACGGGCAGTCTTTTGCTTTCCAAATGCTGATCTCTATAAGGCCCATAAGTGTTATCACCAATGTTATGTTTTGCTTTGGAATTTATTTTTAAGGAGTAAAGAACAAAAAACAAAACTGAACTATCAGGGAAGGATTTCAAAACCCTCTTCAAATAATAGGAACAGCAACATCAGCAGGAGCAGGAACGGAGCAGAATAGAACAACAGAATAGAAAAGAATAGAATCATAGGGTTGGATGGGAAGTCTTATAATCCAACTCCTTGCTCATGGCAGGAGACCTTACATCATCCCGGACAAATGGTTGTCTAGTCTTTTCTTAAAAACCTCCAGCGATGGAGCATCCACAACTCCAGGAGGCAAGCTGTTCCATTAGTTAATTGTTCTCACTGTCAGGAAATTTCTCTTTAGTTTCAGGTCGGATTTCTCTTTAACACGCTTCTATCCATTGCTTCTTGTCCTACCCTCAAAAGCTCTGGAGAATAGGTTGGTCCTCTGTCACCCCTAATTCTTCTCTTTCTTAACTAGACATACCTAGTTCCCTTAACCTTAACTATCTCTTATCCTGCAGAGCCCTTATCATCTTAGTTGTCCTTTTCTGCACTCTTTCTAGGATCCCAGCATCTTTTTTGTATCATGGTGACCTGAACTGGACACAGTATTCCAAGTGTGGCCTCACTAGTGCAGTATAGAGTGGCACTATTTTTTTGTGATGTTGATGCTACAGTATCTGTCTGCTAATTCAGCCTAGGATGTATTGGCTTTTTTGGCAGCTGCAGCACACCACAGGCTCATACTTAACTGATGGTCCACGACCTAGATCCCTCTCAGTTGCTGCTGTTGAGCCAGGTACTCCCTACCCTATATCTGTGCATTTGATTTTTCCTGCCTAGGTTCAGGACCTTATCTTTTTGAAGGTATGCAACATTTGACTATTTGGCTATTCTCTTTTGGATCTGGGGTCCATTTTACATTATAGATGAAGAAGTAGTCTTTTCTCTTCTTTTCTGTTGCTATGACTCCACTGAATCAGCACATTGTTCATCTCTTCAGACAGTCATATTAGATTCCTTGGTCCATTCTCAAAAAGGAGGAAAAAAACTTATAGTTACCTTGTTTTCAAGGTCTACTTTTATGGCCCCATTGTGAACCAGCTGGTCACTGACTATGTTACCAGAGATGACGTCCATCAGGATGTTTTGACTCTTCAGTGCCTGGATAAAATTATCAATTTTTTCACCTGAAAAAGAAAAAAAAAGATAATATGAATTTGCAGGATAAACAAAGAAGCATCCAAACAATGAACAGTACAGAATTTAAATGAAATTATTGATTAGGATGGGAAACTATGGCCTCCAAACATTGCTGAATGAAATTTCTAAGCCAGTGTAATCCTCCTTAATGAAGCTTATATAAAGGTATAATTCTTACACACTGACTTTAAGATAATATAATTCAGCAGGTATTGTCTCAAGGAACTTAAATGTGCTGAGAGTGCCAATCATTATAAGAAGATCTAACACTTTAGAAGGAACAATTTTAGACAGGTTTTCTAGTTGTTCTTCAATTGGCCATACTGCTTAATACAATATTTTACGAATGATATATGCTGGCTTCCAAATGTCTTTTAAGAATAAGAGAGATTGCACAATTTGTTGCTTGAACTAACACTCCATTGTAGTATACCCATTTCCTGCCCCTTTTTATTTTTATTTGTCTTTTATAAACCAGCACCAAGGGGAGAGATTCCCAATTTGAAACTCATAAATCTTGGTACTTACTCACTGTAGATATTTTAAGCCAACAAGCTGCTGATTTCTAAATTGCTAAAACATGGTTGAAATAGTGCTGGATCAAAATGTCTCCTAGCTCAGCAAAGGAATGGGTAAGGAATCTCCTCTCAGATTTATTGTAGTGTACCTGAGCTAACTTTGTGCTATATTTCAGGTATCTTCTTGAAGTTTCAGTGTGCAACTCAACTTCTTTTTCACCTAGTCCCTTCTTTGTCTTTTTGTCCTTTTATCTCTTTGGCTGGTAGAAAGAGGTAAGATTTCCCAGCATAAATTACTTGTATTTCATCCTGATTTTCTCCAGTCAGATCACTTTAAAATAAGACTGTGCCCAAAGTTTTTAAAACTGGCATTATTTAGCAATACATTTGAAAAGAGATAGTTCCGCCTAGAATTCTGCTGTGTCTTTCTGAAGCTAGCTATAAAGAATCAGTAAGGCACAAATTGTCTCACAAATCTCTACCTTGTTCTTCAGCAGAATTAAGTTCAGCTAATAATAATAATAATAATAATAATAATAATAATAATAATAATAATAATAATAATAATAATAATAATAATAATAATAATAATAATAGTAAAGTTGGAAGGGATCTTAGAGGTCATCTAGTCCAACTCCCTGCTCAGGCAGATAACCCTATACCATTTCGGACAAATGGCTGTCCAGTCTCTTCTTAAAAACTTCCAGTGTTGAAGCATTCACCGCTTCTGGAGGCAGGTTGTTCCATTGGTTAATTGTTCTAACTGTCAGGAAGTTTCTCCTTAGTTCTAGGTTGCTTCTCTCTTTGGTTAGTTTCCATCTGTTGCTTCGTGTCCTGCCTTCAGGCACTTTGGAAAATAGCTTGACTCCCTCTTCTTTGTGGCAGTCCCTGAGATATTGGAAGACTGCTATCATGTCCCCCCTCGTCCTTCTCTTCATTAAACTAGACATACCCAATTCCAGCAGCCGTTCCTTATATGCTTTAGCCTCCAATCCCCTAATCATCTTTGTTGCTCTTCTCTGTACTCCCTCTAGAGTCTCAACATCTTTTTTACATCGCGGTGACCAAAACTGGATGCAGTATTCCAAGTGTGGCCTTACCAAGGCATTGTAAAGTAAGGTGACCAACCATCCTCCTTTAGGGAGGACAGTCCTCCTTTTGTAAGTTCTGTCCTCCCTCGAGAAGTGTCCTCCTACATGTCCTCCTTTTCGATATTTGAAGACTAATCTTCAGGGCTTTTTTTTTTTCCTTATAGAACACTCAGAACGGCGTTCTGGCACCTTTTTTTGATGTTTTTTTTTTCAACTTCTGCATGAGCTGTGCTACTCCCACTATTGGCTTTCGAAAGCCAATAGGAATTTCTGCTGAGCGCGCCAAAACACCCGGTTGGCAAACTTTGCACATGCAAGTTGTCTGTATTATTGTTGCAATGAATAAAATGTTTCTTTTATTTACAATATTTTTTCTTCAATTTATTTGTGTCCTCCTTTTCATTGTAAAAAAGTTGGTCACCTTATGTAAAGTGCTATTAACACTTCACGTGATCTTGATTCTATCCCTCTGTTAATGCAGCCTAGCACTGTGTCGGCCTTTTTGGCAGCTGCAGCACACTGTTGGCTCATATTTAGGTGATTGTCCACTAGGACTCCGAGGTCTCTCTCGCAGTTACTACTATTGAGCAATGTCTCAAATTCTGTATTCTTACCTGTATTATTAAGGACCAGAAGTCCTGATGTCCCTCTGAAAAACTCTTTCCCTGGCTCAAAATAAAGCCCAGGATGAATCTCTTCATATTGAAGATTCAACCAAACAGAGTAGCTGATCATTTGGGTAATATAAGGTGCTAACATAATTCCAGTAAGTAGCAGCCTAGGATAATTAAATATTGTTTAAGCATAGCAGAAAAGTGATGTCCGATCAATTTCATTCTATTGCATTTTAAAATTAGGCATTATAGAGCAGAAGCATTTGATAATTAAGGAAGTGTGTTATCAAAATTCTTGAAGGATTGGAGAGCAACTTCAATCTTCCATACAGACTCCTATTTATACCAAAGTTTTAAAATGTTTTTAAGAAGAAAAGTAGCTTTGTGGAAGTAGAAATGAAAGTATAAGTTTCCTACTTGTTGAGATCTCCTTTCTGTACTCTGCATATAGAATTGTTCAGGAAGCAGTAATTACAGTAATTCTAAAAATGTCTTTGGTCAGACCTATTCACACTACAGTAGTCTCCAGGGGAAACCCATTGAATGAATATTCTATTCATAATTAAGTACAGGTAGTCCTCGACTTAACAATCACAACTGAGCCCAAAATGTATGTTGTTAAGTGAGACGTCTGTTAAGTGAGTTTTGCCCCATTTTATGACCTTTCTTGTCACAGTTGTTAAATGAATCACTGCATTTGTCAAGTTAGTAACACGTTTGTTAAGTGAATCTGGTTTAGCCATTGACTTTGCTTGTCAGAAGGACATAAAAGGTGACCACATGATCTTGAGTCTGTTGCCAACTATTTAAATTTGATCACATGACCATGGGGATGCTGCAATGGTTGCAAGTGTGAAAAATGGTCCTAAGTCACTTTTTGTCAGTGATGTAACTTTGAACACTCACCAAATGAACAGTTGTAAGTCAAGGACTACCTGTATCTATATAATAAATGCTATATTTTCAAAATCCCAAAATGGTATTGTCTACCCAAGTGCTACTATGGCATTTCGGAGGTTTTGAAGTTATTTTATATCAACACAAAAGTTAATTTTCTAAATTGAAAAACAAAAAGAGAAACAACCAACAGATGGCATGGACAGGAATTGATCTGTTGTCATGGAAAGATTGAATGATGAAGCTATTGAAATTTCTGATTTTGGCAGAACTGAATGATCTTGTCTCACTCTGGATTTCCTTTAAATGGTTTCCTTCCCTGACAAGCAAGAAGAAGCAATATAAATATGCCAGCTCTAGCTGGAGTAGAATAAGTGCTGCCGTAGTTTGGAAATATGGCAAGGGGATGAAGCAGCTGGAATCACTGAATTAATGTCCCCTACCTGAGATCATTGTTCTCTTTCCACGCTTGGAGGGAGAAATGTGAAATATCATTATGTTCTCTTGGACTTTGTTCCTAAGCACTGTATAAAATCTGTTTTTTCTTCAGCTTATTCAAGGTTAACTGAGGCAAATTTACTCTATAATCACAGCCTATGATCTCGACTTCTTGCATTAAAGATAAAATTAATAAATCATTTTTAAAAAGGCACTCACAAGGTTCCCCAGATTTTGCTCTCTCTCTTGAGGTTTAGAAAGTGCATTCTTGCAACGGCATAAACTTGTTGTCTCCAGAGCTCTGTGCCTTTCATGGTCACCTTTCCCGTGTCTGAGAGCAACAGCTGATCCCGTTCCATTTCATCCTTTCCTGCCGCTTCCCATCCATGAAGGATTCCAAAATCTAAAACCATTTTGAAAGTCAAAACAATTCTCTTTATTTCAGCTGAAGGAAAATCTTCTTGTTTGCTCTTTCCTCTTCTCAACTCCTATTCTTCCTATTGGCTACAAACTCTGTTACCGAAAGATCAGTCTAGCAGCTTCCTTGGGTCTTCAGAAATGATAGAAGAAAACAATTAAAATCCCGCCCCATAGTTATCACTCCAAACACACAGTTTTCTCAGCAGGAAGACTGAAAATAATACAATATTGAAAACAATACTTTACCTTCTTCTTTCATGTTTTCATTTCCTTCTAGCTTCAAGAAGACATCTTCCAGAGTCGTCGTGGTAACTCCATAATTAATAAGTCCTAGGTCTGTCTGATGATCCATATCACTGAACAAATCTACACGTTGAGAAAGGGAAAACACATACCAAATTTATATATACTTTCAACTTAAAGAAAGGACACAAATACCCATTGGAATTTTGTGAAATTTCACTTAATTGAAAGAAAGTTAAATTTTAGATGAACTGTTCTTAAGGTTTGTTTTTAATTTTTTTACCTCCTTAGCCTATAACAGACCAGCTATAATCTGATTGAAAAGGTTAATCAATATATCCAAAGTAACACCATCTCCGAAACATAAAAACAATCTAATGAAGGCAAAGTTCATTTTAGAACTTTGGTTTATTTCACTCTATCTACAGAATCATTTTTTTTTTAAAAAAAATATACTATTCTTTATGTTTACAAAGCAACTGTAAATGAAAAGATAACTTTGTATCTTGAAAAACTGGAAATAACTACAAGAGGGGCAGTTTTGCCCAGGACAGAAAAAGAGATGAAAAATATAAAGAAAGTTTTTAATTTACTAATTAATGGAGAATAGTATTATATGATTATCTAAAAAGCAGCCTAATTTAATAAGAGATATACTGAATAATTTAGCACAGAAAATAATTTCATTAAAGGATTGTGAAACAAACATTAGGTAATATTTTGGCATTTTAAAAAGAAAAGCCATTGAAATCATTGTATTATTTAATATATTCATTGCCTCTAAAGCAGTGGTTCTCAACCTGTGGGTCGGGACCCCATTTGGGGTCGATCAACCATTTCATGGGGGTCGCCAAGCAAGGCTGTCCGCCATTTTTTTGTCTGCCATTTTTTCCCCTTTTCCAGCGGGTGCCTTACCTCCCTTGGGCTGGGCCAGCTGGTGGTCGGCCTGCTCCATCTCTGCCACTTGCCAGCTACGCCTCGGCCGGCGCAGGGGGCGGAACCACGCATGCGTGGCGCTCCCGGGCAGGGAAAGTCCTCGACTTACGACCGGTTTAGTCCTCGACTTATGACCGGTTTAGTCCTCGACTTACGACCAGTTGGGGTCGCGGCATTAAAAAGGTTGAGAACCACTGCTCTAAAGCAAATTTATGTTATTAGATCACTAAAAACAGTACAGTATTTGGAAGATATATATTAATTTAAACTGAGCCTGTGATGGAATACATTTTATTCCCTTTGAAAATTCAATTCAAGTCAATTCACTCTCTTTTTCTATTGCTTTCTTAGACTGTTAGGGAATTTGTCATTATTTGAGAGTGTACGTGATATAAATATATATGATGTAATGTTAATTGTCTAACAGTGAAATAAAATATTGTTATTTATAACCAAAGTATAAACTGATAAAAGAGCAAAAATATATTCTGACCACAAAAATTAAGTTGAATTCATCACATATTATAAATTAACCGCAACAATTTGCACTGCAATAAGGGTGAGAGCCTTTTATTTTCATAGGTCTTATTAATCAATGTTAGAATTGTGATCTCTCCATTTTACTCTCATTTAGTGATAATGACTTTTGTCTGTGAAAGATGTGTCTTATATTCTCTTTATTATAGAGCAGTGATGGCGAACCTTTTAGAGACTGAGTGCCCAAACTGCAACCCAAAATCCACTTATGCATCATCGGGTGCCGGGTGGGTGTGGCCCATTGGCTGGGTGTGGCCCATTGGGTGGGCGTGGCTGCGGTGGTAACAGCAGATTGGATGGGACTAAAAAGTTCAATCAATCAATTCCAACTTTGCAAGATCTTTTTTTTCCCCGCGAGAAGTTGAAATTGACTGATTGATTGAACCTTTTTTTTTTTGCACACGGCGGCGGAGGCCTAAAGTGAAAAGGTTTTATAAAACCCAGCTGAAGGCCTAGGACTGGGGCGACAGCACGCGTGCCCACAGAGAGGGTTCTGAGTGCCACCTCTGGCACCCGTGCCATAGGTTCGCCACCACTGTTATAGAGCAATTGATTAAATTATTTGGTTCTCTGTTTTCATGCGGTTAATCATATGAAATGTTAATTATAAACTTGATTTTTAAATGGTTTTTATGTTTTAATCTGTATGTTGGTCAAAGGATTGAACATAGGGTAATACAAAATTTCATCTGATTTGGTGGGAAAATAATATTAAACAACCTTTCTCTGTTGTCCAGGAAAGCATGGTTCATATGATTTCAACTGTTAGGGTTCTTTAGGAAACAGCAGTTAAATTCTTTTTATTTATACAGCTTGAAAATTACCTGAAAACTTATCCACATTTTGTAAGGGCAGGGTATAGCTCAGCTCATTTTCACGTTGTCCTGATTTTTTTGCAGCAGGGATGTGGTGTTTGACCAGTGATGTTATTCTCTCAAAGTTACAAAACTCATTTGTATGTATCCTATTCAAATTAAACAACACTTTAGGTCAACAGCAATGTCCAACTTATTTATTCAGAATATTCAATGAATCCTTCCAACTGAAAAACAGATTTCAGCTTATCTCATGCATTATAAACTTCCATAAAGCGACTTAGTGCTTAATACTAGAGCTGACTTGCTACAATTAAAACAATTTTTAAATAAAATAGGCTGTATCCTAGCTTACAGTTGCCTCACTAATGCACCTTCCTTCATATTTAATTAAAAAGATAGCATACATGTAAAAAAAACCCCTTCGTTTCCTTTCAAATGCATCTTTAAACAAGATTTGATTGGGGTATGTTGTGTCCTGAGCCTGCAGCAGCAGGCTCGGGACGTTGTCATGGTAATGGACTGCTGTAAGTTGCTTGGGACCAGACAAGCCGGCGCCAGCCTGCGCGCATGTGCAAGGCGCCAAGCGCGCCATTCTGTTGTATCTTTTTTACCCGGGCTTTTGCTGGTCGTTCAGTGAGCTGAGAGAGGCCTGCGAGCCTCAGAGTTGTGTCGGAGGAGAACAGGAGAGAATAAAGGTTCTGTTACTGACAACATGTCTGCCTCTCTTTCGCTGTTAAACCAAGGACTCAACAGGGTATATGTGATAAGAACTTCCTCAAAACATTTGGGAAATATGAAAGTAGAACATTAAACAACCTTGAAGGTAGGGTATATTAAAGTATATTTATATTGGAATTCAAAAATAGTGGATTCTTAAAATAATTTTAAATAATGATTCGTCTTCTTACATTAATTTTATAAGATGGGTAATCCAGCTGAATCAAGATATCCATAGTCCAGTATTTTGTTTCCCATAATAGCTAATCAAGGGCTTCTGGGAGTTTTGCAAGCAGAAGATGGGTGGTGTGAAACATTGTTCTTTTCACAATGGAATTTGGAGGCAATATTGAATGTTTAGAATTAATAGCTCGTAGTAGACCTTTTCTCCATGAATTCCTCCATTTCTTTTGTAAAGCCACCCAAATTAAGGGCCATCACCATATGTTATGATAATTAATGCCACAGATTAATGATGCACTATCTGTTCTAAAAATCTTTCCACCCACTTTCAGTCCTAGTGTTTTTGAAAGGATCAAACTTTTCCTGTCCATGCCCTTTCTGCCATTCATATTGTTATATCCCTGAGTTGCCTTTTTTCCAGTATAGAGCACTTTACATTCTAGCCAAATCTTACAACGAAGCTCAACACAGAGAAACATACACTTCTAGTTTCCCTCTTCTATACTCTTTCCAACTTAGTATTAAAGGTGCAAACATAACTATTTGGTCTGGCTCATCTAGTCATCTCCGACAGTGGCAACATCAATTGGCATCCTTAAGCAAGTAGACATTTGGTCTGCTGTTCTACAATAGACTTAGTTTTCAACATAATTTGACATAATTTCAAGGAAAGCCAGTAGTTAAGCTGTTGAACAGGGTGGGATAGAACTATATCCTCCTTGAATTTTGGAAGCTTACTAGATGACTTCAGGCCAGTCACTATCTAATCTTCCTCCCTGTTTTGGTGAAATCATGAAAGAAGGAATGCTTTGTAGGCCACATTAAACCCTTGAAGGAAAGATGGGCAATAAAGCTATCAAATAAATAAGCGAAACAGTTTTGTTCCTCAATCAAATTGAGCAGTTCTGTTTTGAATTCTTGCCTTCGTGAGGCCCTTCTGCATATTTCTGCCCACATTCAATTTATATGGTTAGCAGGAACTCCAAACTGCCTTTTCAAATGTGCTTCGCAGCCTCTTTCTTTCTTACTGTTCAAGCACACAGTGAAGTTTTCCCACAAATTTTAAATATATTTATCATTTCACTATTTTTATTCTTTATATGGTTTTATATTGGGTAGTTTTAAAAAGTTGTTTATTTGTTGCTTTTTAAATGTTACTTTTCTCCATCATTGAGATTCATTTTTTCATTTAGCTAAATTGCCTCAAGTGTCTGTATTTCAAAATGGAAAAGCAAGGTGTAAACCTGAAAAGAACAAATGAAAGACTGAAAGATTGGATTAAATATTCCAGCATAGAATTAACATTAAGCTTTTAAACTACAATGAAAAATAGATCCATAACACTGTCATATTACTAATACCTTAAATGATAGCCAAGCCCCCATTTTTTCTTCAAGAACAGAGATGAACCAACACACTGCAGCCTCCCATGTGAGATAATAGCTTTCCGGTCTTGAGAAAGAACAAACAAAAATTTATCTCATTTGATAATAAGAAGTTCTATTTGCCAAATTCAAACTATTAAACATATAGTTATTGGGGATTTAGTGGAATCAATGCAGTAAATAAAGCACTGGTTTGGTATAAAATATTCATAGTGACTAGCATATGAATTAGACCTAATTCTTACTGACATAAGAAAGGAGCAAACTAAAAGTAAAGTAGGCAAGCTAGCATGAACCTTTAAGGTAGGATGAGCCAACAGTGGCTAGAGTACTAACTTCTACATATCTACATCCAGATGTTTTTATTTGGAATTTCATGGAGATGGTAGAGGGAATAGAACCATAGAGGTGGAAGGGACTTTGGAGGTCTTCTAGTACTTTTTGGGTTGAATCCATCTGAGGGGGATGGGCAGTAATAAACAAACAAACAAAAAACAAACAAACAAATAAATATTACATCTTTCTACAGGATAGAACAATCCATATACAAGGAACAAGAAAGGAAGTAACAATCATGGATCTAAAAAGTCGCTAAAAGTAAAAGGTGAGTTCAATGGGCTTAGTGGGGAAGAGAGGCAATGCATGAAAATGCTGAAATTGACAGGAGAAGCAGACTGACGTGCAGTAATACATGTGATTGCATTTAAGAAGTTACATGGATCAACTGACTTAGTGCAATTCAATAAAAGACCTTTCTGATAGATGGGGACAGAAGGAGAAATAATGGTATTTGAAGAAATAAAATTACCATAAGTACTGTTTCTATAGTGTCTCTTTGTTCCTACATTCTAATCTGCTTCAGTATGAGGTCTGCTCACCAGAAAGGATATCAGCTTCATCCATGAACTGGGTAGTGAATAAAATGACTCGATCTGCTTTGCGTTCATTCAGGAGAGACCACACTTGGTGTCTAGAATATGGATCCAATCCAGCAGTTGGCTCATCTAATAGTAATACCTACAGTAGGCATTTGATTGCATATCTTAATTCAACACATTAAAACATCATTGTTGATGTCCAATTTCTCATTATGAAGACACAAGAATGTTGCAAAATTGTATGCCTTTTGAAATAACATTTAGAGGATTTTTTTTATAATAAAAAATAATGTCATTAAAATTATTGCAAATTTCACTTAACTTGCTAAAGTCAAGAAAATATTAGGAAAAGGGTTGAGAAGCTAAAGCTGAAAGAAAGGGAAACCATATCAGAATTAGGGATTTCCATGATTACTATCTATGCAAGTCATCAGTAAGGAGGAAAGCACTGCATTCATAAAAAAAAAAACCATACTTAATCGTGTAGGTACAATGAGTCTTTTTTTAACTAATAGTGGATTTACCTGTGGTTCCCCTAAAAATGTAATCCCAAGAGATAATTTTCGTTTTTGTCCACCACTTAAATGACTAGCTTGGGTGTTTTGAATGGCTTTGATGTCCAAGAGCGTCAACAATTTTTCAACCTATAAAATATATAAATTGCAATTATTTTGCACTTCTTACCTAGAAGCCCAGTCTCTTAACTGAATGAAAGAAATGGACAGGCAGTCCATATATTTTATATACTTAGTTCTTAATGTATGTTTGGGTCTTATTTCTGTTGCTGTTCATCTCTAAAACATTTTAAAATTTTGTTGACCATTTAGCTTGGCTGTTTTCAGTTGTATTGATTGCCCAACAGGTAAGTAATATTTCATTGTAAATCAATATCAAGCACTGAAAGTTGAATCTTTTGTACTTGTTCAGGCAGACCATATTCCTAAATTTTACATGGCCATAGTTTGTTCATCCTTTTCCTGAAGAAGCCAAATTATATTCTACTAACTTTTTGCACTTCAGAGTTCTCCTGGCTTCTTTTCCAAGGTTTTAAAAAAAGCTTTGGCTTATTCATCTTATTTTCATTGCTGTGGGAATGGCAGTCTTCCTATCAACTGGCTAACAAACCCTGATCCAATTGGCAGAGAAATGGTCTATTACAGGTTTTTTTTTCAAATAGTGCTTTGTGGAATTTGGGGTGGTAGACAAATTTAAAAAGCTTTAAATATCAAGGGGAAATGAACAAGCATGGGCAAAATCAGATGAATATTGTAGTTTAGAGAGATTTAGATACTTTTGTATAAGTAAAAGACAATGGGAGTATTTTTTAAAAAATACTACAAGATTTATGACAGCCAATAAATATAACAGCCAAAAAAATGGCTTAATTGATTAACTGCTTTAAATGAGCAGTTAATCAATTAAGTGTAGGAGTAGACGAGGCTGAGTCTGAGGAAGGGGTCAAACGCATCATAAGTCACATGTCCCTGCGCACCCGCAAGAGAACTAAATCCAGCCCACCTTGAATGCCTTCCTTATCTCCCACTCATTTCCCTTGGCTAAATACAATCAGTGGAGAATAATGTTATCAAATCTAAAGGAGAGGGGTTCTACAATGGAAGAAGTTTAAAAGGGAAAAATGTAGAACATAACTATCTGTGCAACACAAATCTGTGCAGGACAACAGAATATAACTGAATCCATTATTACCTCTTTTTCTACAGCATTGGATGGTATCCCTTTTATTTTAGCAAATGTCTTTAAGTTTTCTTTCACTGTTAAAAATTCAAACTGGATATTGAATTGTGGACAGATAGCACTTATTTCCCAAATCTTTTCCATGTGTTCCTTTTCACATATATTGTACGTGTATATGGATGCAAAACCTGTAAGCATTAGCAAAAAAAAAACCACATAGAGAATTTTCCAATTAAAGAGGCTGCTATTACTTTAGGATATGATGAATTAAAAGGCTGCTTTGCAAATGGGCTGGTCTGTTGTTTATCCAATTTATTATAATATATACTATTAATATATACTATTATTATACTATATACTGTCTTCCTAAGGCTAGCTTTAACCTTATTACTAAAGGGGATTGTAGCCCCCCCCCAAAAAAAAAACAAGGGCTGATCTGTATTACAGTCTGGGAGCTCTCCAGGATACCATGGAGAGGAAAAACTTTCTCCAGCTTCCCTGGAGATGATGATACTTCGCTAGAGAACAATAGCAGAAAGGGGCTATTGTTTTCCTGAGATACCATCATGAAAAACAGGAAATGGGACCAGATTGGACCTGATCAAATCCAACAGGGCTGCACTTTTCTAAACGTACTTTGAGATTGGGCTGGCGTTTGAATTCATTTTAAAGTTTGATTCTTACCATCAGATGGTTTGGAAAGTCCACTGAGAATGTTTAGCAATGTAGTTTTCCCAGATGCGCTATGACCAAGTATTGCAGTGATCTGACCTTCGTAAATATCCAAGGACAATCCTAATATATAAAGAAGTCAGGTTTGCTGTATATATTAAATGATACATTGAGGCATCTAATAGAAGAGATCATTCTGGCTTTGTTCACATACAGCTGTGGCACTACCCCAATATTAAGAATCCATGTTGTTCTTGGCAGAGCAGCTAAACCTGAGGGACTGTGTGGGACAAGAAACAAGTCACAGAGCAGTACAAAAGAATCTTGTTTTAGATCTTTGTGTCCTCCATTGATTTATTTTAGGATATGCAGTTCCTCTTCTGATTAGTGGGATCTTAAAACATTTTTCAGTTGTGTACAATTATCCTGTTCTGTTAATCAGTTCTAAAACCAAATGTTTTCCTGAAACTTATTCTTATATGACAGTATGTTATTTCTTTTCTCCATCCATCCTAAACTTGAATTCATTGTTTTGCATTTTAACAGTAAAGCACCTATTTCTTCACATTTTTTATCCTGAATTTTATAATTGTTACTGATTCTAGTGCCAGTTATTATTATTTTTTTGCTGGCATTCATGCAACCAGTTTTTTCCAGAACTTCCTATCAAGATAGGGGAGAAAATTAAAAATCAAGATGCCTTTTCTTTTTCAACCAGTGCCCAGGAAGCTGATGGAGAATGTGGAGATGAAGGTGTAAAAGCCCTGGAGATTGGTCTGAAAGATGACCTTTGAAAGTTACTTAAATGTAATTCTTAAATTTAAAGCATCTCAGTAAGCTTTCTCTAAGAAGGAGAACAGAAATGCCTATGTTAGGTTCTACCTTTTCACATGAGTCACACAATAGGTTGGAACACCCTCTTTGTCCCCCAGATCCCATATATTAATAAAATAATGTCAGTTTACTGTATCTCATGAATTGCTGGTATTTTGATCTCTGAGATATCATATGAGGTTAAACAAGAATTATAATATTTTATATATTTACTCTGTTTTCTTGCCAAACTTCTTATGAGATTTCATGTGAAGAACCTAAACATTTAATATAAATATGTAATCATTGTAAGTCGTGCCCATTTTATTAAAAAAAATGGTCTAACTTTGGAGGTTCAAGAAAGGTATTTACATATATTACAGATGCCCTACTTCCCATATGTTTTGTGCTATTTCTGTCGTATTTCATAGAATCAAAGCAATAATATATATTCTAAAGTGCAGGTATCTTACCTTTCAAAGCTTCTGTTTCTGTGCTTTTCATTTTATAAATTTTTTTAATGTTATTTAGTCTAAAAAATAGTGAAATAATTATTTGTCAGTACATTGTGAGATTCTTCTTACAAATTTCAGAATTATCCAAAATATCACTTTGAAATAGAATATTAATTTAGCATTCAATATGTCATAGTAAATGTTAGACAAGGGATGCATTTTCCTTTGGTATATGTCCAATAGACATAATAAAATAAACATAAAAATATAATATAAAAAAAATAAAAGACAATACAGATAGTCAGATTAGGAGAGGTTAGGAGAGCACATCTCTAAATGATGTGGTTGTAAAGCTTAACACCTGGACCATATGGGTCATTAAGTGAGGACCTCATATAATGTGATGAGGGAAGAGGGAATTTCATGCAAGCAGACCGGCGGACACTGAGGGTTGGCACTATAGAGCACAAGCGGATGGGGGGAAAAGCAGAGGGAATGCAAGCGACTTGTAACCTGCTACCAGCTTCCCATTGACTTTGTTTGTAAGAAACCATCGGGGAGGGTGGAAATGGCAATCATGTGATCTTGAGATGCTGCAACCATCATAATGGTTACCAAATGGCTGAATTGTGATGATGTGACTGCAGAGATGTTATAATAGCTGCAACTGCAAGGACCAGTCATAAGTCCCCCTCATTCAGCATTGTCACAACTTTGAATAGTTGCTGAATAGATGGCTATAAGCCAAAGACTACCTGTTGCAGCAGAAATGTATTTCTTATAGCAGGGCTTTTCAACCAGTGGTACGGGTACCACCTGTGGTACATTGGCACCTGGCAGGTGGTACGCAACCATCTCAGAAAAGTGGTAGTGGGGGAGGGGAATGAGCTGAACCGGTGGCAGCACGGAAAAGCCTGAGCGAGAGATGCCTGGAGCTGCAGGGCTGTCAGGGCTCAGCGGAAGCGCCAGGATCAGCACCAGGCTCCAGCTGGAGCTCAGCGCTGATCCTGGCGCTTCTGCTGAGCCCAGAAGAAGCGCTGATCAGCTGGAATGTTGCAGCATCTCCAGGGTCTTGTGATTTACATTCAGATGCTTGGCAACTGATTCATATTTATGACGGTCACAGTGTCCCAGAGTCATGTGAAGTGACCAAAACCTGCTGCAACCACCCAGCAGACGGGGAGAATAAAAATCAAACACCCCCCACCCCACCCCCGCTGCCAATCCTCAACAGAAATGCTCCCAACAATGAAAACCTCAGACAGGAGGAAGAGCACCGCCGGATGAGCAGGCAGGTGTCTTGCTTGACTGTGGCTTGGGGGGCACTTTTTTCAGTAACTTTGAACAGTCACTAAGCGAACTGTTGTAAGTCAAGTACTCCCTGTACTTCATCACTTTTTTCCTTTTTTTTTTTTTTTGGGTCATCAAGTTTTTGACACCTTGCTAGGTGACTGGTGGTACTCGGATATTGCCATATCCTAAAAGTGGTACAATGGGTGAAAAGGTTGAAAAGTCCTGTCTTATAGCATATTATTTTCTCCTTATGAATGAATCTCCCCCAATGTCCTCTGGGAGCAGAACCTACAAGTAAAGGAAATTTACAATACGCTCACAGTATTGAATGTCCACATTCAGTGTCTCTTACCTTATGGCTTCCTTCCCATCAAACTCAGGAGGCACAGGTTCAGCATTGTCACTGAAGATACTCCCATGACTCCCTTCGTTTGTAGGAACATCACCAGTATAGGGCCTTTTGGGTTTACACCAATAGGTCTTCTTCAAGAAAAACAATGGAGGATAAGGTACCCCATATTTGTCTAAAAAGTATTTTACAAACAGCAAGTTGTCATAAAGCCAAAATAACTGTAAATTCTTAATGTTTACATTGAACATGTAATAAAGTACAATGCTAGTCTTCATTGTTCTTTTGTAGTATTTTCTTAACTGTGAACCTGACAATAAAGTGAATAGATACAGTCAGTTCAGTTCCCTGCTTAATAAATCATAACCTACATCAAAACTAAAAAAAAAAGAGGGAAATAGACCAAAGCAACAAAACAGGAATAATAATTCATTTGAGAATTCTTGCTAATTTTGATACGTCATTGGCAGAGAAATCTGTATGTAGCGTTGGTAAAACTAAGGCTGGTAAACTACATTTTGTTTGTCTTTTGAGTCAGTTTTTTACTTCTGGCAACTGCCTGGACAAGTCCCTGCAGTTTTTTTGGCAAGAATTTCAGAAGTGATTTGCCCTTGCCTTTTTCCAAAGACTGGGACAAAGTGACTGGCTCAAGGTCACGCAGCTGGCTTCATGCTTAAAATGAGAGTAAAAATAATGATCTTCTGGTTTCTAAATAAATGCTTTAACCCAATGGTGGCGAACCTATGGCACGGGTGCCAGAGGCGGCACTCAGAGCCCTCTCTGTGGGCACGCATGCCGTCGCCCCAGTCCTAGGCCTTCAGCTGGGTTTTATAAAACCTTTTCGCTTTAGGCCTCCGCCGCCGTGTACACAAAAAAAAGGTTCAATCAATCAGTCAATTTCAACTTCTCGCGGGGAAAAAAAAAGATCTTGCAAAGTTGGAATTGATTGATTGAACTTTTTAGTCCCACCCAGTCTGCTGTTACCACTGCAGCCACGCCCACCGAATGGGCCACGCCCACCGAATGGGCCACGCCCACTCAGCACCCGACGATGCATAAGTGGGTTTTGGGTTGCAGTTTGGGCACTCGGTCTCTAAAAGGTTCGCCATCACTGTTTTAACCATGACACCAACCTAGCTCTTGGTTAACTTACCCTGTAAATTTTCTATATAACTAAAAAAGATTATGTGAAAGTCTTGGATTGAAGGAAGGGAGGTCAAACTCTAAGACCCCATCTGTAATGACTATGACATATGGAAGATTGCAACTTATATGTTACAGAACATTAAGTAATCATTAAAGTGAATGAAACAAAAATAGATATATTTCAAGTCTTTGAAACTAAGATAAAGGGAAATGACATAATAGATCTGAATAAAGGCAGCATACCTTTAGGAAAATGAAGACATGGTTTTAATTATGAATGAAAGAGCAAAGATCTGTGTCAGAAAGTAAAAATTGGTCATCTAGATCAGGGGTCCCCAACCTCAGGTCCGTGGACCAGTACTGGGCCCCGGCATGCCAGCAACCGGGCCACACAAAGAAGCAAAGCCCCATCTGCGCGATGCAGGCAGCACACAAAACCATGCACCATCTAGTCCGTGGAAAAACCTCTCTCCACGGAACCAGTCCATGGTGCCCAATAGGTTGGGGACCTCTGATTGTTGTGGTTGTGTATGAAAATAGGAATGCTCTTGTTGGTGATACTGACATTGCGTGTTTCAGTATGCTATAATAATGGAAAAACCAATATCAGGTTTGGGGAAAGTTATGTAGCATGCTGAGTGAATGAGATCCTGGGGAGGGAGGAACATTTTGTTAGATGATATGGGTGGACGAATAGAGAAAAGGATGAATAGTACAGTAGTGATCTAACTATTTGGCCCAATGAATGAAAGTGATGATTGTTTGATGTGCATCTATTTAGAAAAAAGATCTTGTTTTAACTATGTGTTCAAGTATAAGTCTATTCATGTGTACATGGGGCAAAAGAATGAATATAAATCTATAAGCATGATTCAATTGATTGTTATGATGAAGGACTGAAAGAATGAGTGAAGGATACAAAGATGAAGAGAGGTTCTGAATGTCAGACAATCATGTTTACAGTAATTATCAAATAATAATCCTGTGAAAAATGGATTTGGAGAAAAATAAAGTAGTGAAAGAAATGAAAATAAGGCAGAATGACTGCAGGGAGAGAATACTGTAGCTCAGTCTGCTTTGAAAAGTTATTTGAAGACAAATTAATCTCCCAAATGAGTAAATGGAAAGGATCATAAGAAAATGAAGCTTGAAATAATGTTACAAACTGCCACCAAAATGTATAATGTTAAGCTGATAGACACTGTGAATAAGGATGGTGAAAAGATGAAAGAAAAGAAGCAGTGGCTGACAAATAAAATACAAAAAAAAAAAGATTGCTGCAAAAAATTAAAATGAGAACAGGGCATTAAATGAGAAAAAATATTGACATTATTCTGATAATTAGTATTTTAAAAATATAGGAATGATATGGGAAATATGGGGATGATAGTGTATGTAAAAAGTAAAAAAATAAAATGAATACTATAAATGTTTGTATCTAAGAAAAAATGACAAATTTCAAGTGCTGTTAGAATGTTGAAAAATGGCAAAGTGTTTGGTAGAGATGGTGTAACTTAATAAATGTCACAACATGAATATGGTTTGCTTACAATTTATGTATAATATATATGTGAAGACAGCATGGATGTGAGAATGCTGATTGTCAAAAATGATGGCAAGACAGTGAAAAATGCTATAGTTTGTTAAAGGTGACTACCTAAGTGTCAGGAAGAATTCTGCCTGAAAGCATACAAGGACAATTAGGCTTTAGATCCTACTGTTTTTTTCAGTAGGACATGTAGATATGTATGAGTTTGAGAAAGAAGTTTAGAAATGTATGAGTTTGAGAAATCATTGTGGATCCCTAGTGATCACATAGATTTTTATCTAGGACAATCTGTCTCTAACTTGGTCTTGCCAATCTCTCAATAGTGTCATCACCATTATAATTGAGTTCATCCACCTTTCTGATGGCTGTTCTCTTTTCTCTTTTCTTTGACCTTTTCCAGAATTAGAATCGTTTTCACAAACTTAGGTCTTTGTGTAATGTATCCAAAGTAGGACAATATGAGTCTCATATTTATACCTCAAGTGAGTATTCTGAATTGATTTGTTTGTTGATCCATCTGTTTGTTTCGTTGCCTGTCTGTGGTATTTTTCAGGTCCTTTCTCTAATGCCAAAGTTCAAAAATGTTAATACTCTTCCTATCCTGCATCTTGAAAGTCCAAATTTCACTTCCATAGAACATCACAGGGAATAATATGGCTTATACAATTCTGATTATATACTATACAATATGCTTGTGGATTTAGAAGAAATTAGATTTAGAAGAAATAAATGATGTTAATAGGTGTGAATTATAGAATGGTTTGCATGAAGTGTGGATGATGGAATTAAAACATGATTGAGAATAAATGGGATGCTTGGCAAAAGGTTTAATACTGAGCAGGGAGCAAGAGTAAGAGGTATGATGTCCCCTTGGCTGATTTACACATTTTTAGCATTGTATAAGGGTTTATTATGGTATTGTTAATTGTGTTGGTTGGGATTGTGATGGACTTTGGTAAGGATGATTAAATTCTGTTGGCTGAGGACCCAAATATTTGTAGCGAGTGTTATGAAGAAACGCAGAATGAAAATTATAGTATCCAAGAGAAAGGCAGTTGTATTTCACAGGGAAAATGGAATGAACAATTGCAAGTACGTATAAATAGCAAATAAAACTGGTATGTGGGTGAATTTGTGTATCTTGGTAGAATATTTACTAAAAATAGGAACATGAATGGAAATATTTTAAGATGTGCAAATGCTGGTAGAAAAGTATTGGGTGGAATAATTCTGTTTGAAGATGTTTGTCAAGAGAAGCAGAAATCACTAAGTATATAAGCAGGTTTCTGCCAATTTTGTAGATGTAAGTGGGAGTTGAATATGTCAAGAGAAACATAAATGCAGTGCAAATGTGTTACTTAAGAACTGTGGTTGGTAAAACAAGAGATTAAAAGATCCAGAATAAATGGGTGCTGAATATTTGTGAATTGAACGCAAAGTGACTGATTTGTATGAAAGCAATGCATTGGAATTTTTGGTCATGTAGGGAAAATTAATGGGAATGGAATTGCAACACAAAAATGAGAAGCCAATGGAACTGATGAGCTCCACAAAATGACTGAGGTTTAGAAAACAAAAGGAAAGTTTTCCTTCTCTCTTGTCATCCACATTTAATTTCATTTGCTTACTCTACACCATTTCTGTGCTTTGCATAAAACTGGTTTCTTTAAAATGGGCTACAGGTCATACATGTATGCATGATATGTGAACAAGACTGTTGTATTTATGATTAAGTTGCCTGAAATTCAGATGAATTTCAGGCAACTTAATCTAAAGAAAAATATAATACTTGCTGTCTCAACTTTGTTATTTTTCCCCATTTTTCAGGCCAGTTACAGTTTATCCCTAATTCAAAAATGATGCTTTTGAGATAATGAAAAGCAACTTGCAGAAATGTTGTCTTCAAACTATAATATATTCACAGTAATATTCTTACCAGGCACAACCTTATCAAAATAGAAAGCCAGCAGCATGTATAAAAGGCTGTCAATAAGCAAGCAATAACCATATGGTTCGACCATTAAGTTGGTAAAATCAAAGGTGCTTCCATATTTTTGAAAATAGAGAACCTACAAAAAAAGAACAAAGGTTTTTTTGTGAATCAAATTTTCATAGGAAAGAACAAAGAATTGAAATGAAACTATTTAGTAAGTTAAACTATTGATCCGATTCTAACCCCCTTGAAATGGAAGCATGGGTCCCAGCAGTATGAAGGAAAGATTAGAATGGAATGCCATTTTGTGTCCATATTCAGTTTGCTAGGTATCCCTATCAAAATATCCTTGGAAGAGAAATACCTATGTCACCAAAGTGAGTGTCAAATGTGTTTCCTGTTAATTGCATCATGGTTAGGAAGATAGAATTTTGAAGTGAAATATTATTTGTCACTCTACCTTTGAAAGTCCAGCACCAAAAGCAAATGGGCAGAAGATGCTCAAAATCAACTCCAAACTTGGAGGTATCAACCTAATTGCTGTAGGTACGTTGAGGGCTCCCAAACAAAAAATGAAGATGAAAATTACAGAGCTAGTGATTCTGGGCTTCTTTAGGAGAGAGCTCAACATGAAACAGAAACATATCTGTGAAAGAAGAAATTGCCAGTTAGTAGGAAATACTTTCTCTACAAATATGCAAGATACAATAGAATGAGTAAAATATTGTTTTGTATTTATATGTAAATGTTGCACCCTACTTTAAAAACATAAATGGTTGCAATGGATATTTGCAGGTCAGGATTCAAGCTAAACTGAATTAATAAGAAGACAGTGCATAATGCCTTTCCATAGTATTTCCCAAAAAGTTATTATATCTCTAAACAAGAGAAGATGGAGTCCAATCACTGTAATAATGTAACATCCAAACTGTAAATGCTCAAGCTGAAGAGAGTAAAAAAAAAAATCAGCAGTGGAGAGAATTGAGTCCATTTGGCTTTAAGTGCTGAGGCATTCAGACAACATGAAAATACTGTGGGACCACAAATGCAACCTGGCACCTACTTTTGCTTCTCCTAATGCCATCCTGCTCAATAATTTTGAATAAGTATGTATTCAGCTTCCTTGCTCTGCCACTCAATACTGATGATTGAACTTTTTAACCTAGAACAATTCTTCTGGGCACTACCATCTCCATATTCCTCCTTCCTCTCTCAGATATTGACTCCATCTTTCTTCATCTTCCAGCTTCACCCACATTTCCCACACATTTGTTTTTCTCCTTCTTGCAATTCATCCAGTTCTTCCATCTTCCCCTCCATCTGGTCTACTTTCTCTGATCATTGAACAATTTGAAACCTTCGAATATTCCTCCATCTCCTTTTCCCCCTCCTTCTCACCTACACATTCTATCTTGCATTTATCATATACACATTTTTAACAGGAACATCCACACAGCATCTTTAATCTTCAGTCAAGTGATGCTCAGGGTACTTTTTCAAAAATAAGAAAGTAATAGGTTCTCTTTAACCAGCCCAAGCCAGTTTGCAGACTGTAATATTTGACATGAGCTGAAAATTCTGAATAATTGCCTGTGAAATATTTAATAGTTATCTAAACTTGAATTTATCAAGAAATGAATGACATAGTCATTTTTCAATATTATCTGGAAAGGTGCAGTTAGCTTATCAAATGACTGTCAATGAATACAAAATAGACAGGTATGCTTTTTCCTATCTTTCATCTAACCAAACAAAAGAACTTTCTGCTAAAGGAAATAATCTGTCCAGGTGTACTATCATTAAACTGGTATCTCCATGATCCCTCAAACTGTTTGTTTGAGTGCTTTATATTTGGGTGCTTTATTAAAAGGAGAGAATGCTTGAGAAATAAATGTTTTAATTTAATATTTAAATATTAAATTAAATAAAAAGTTCCTTCTTATTCTGGTCCAGAAACTGTCCTCCAGCAGAACAGAAATATTTATTCTAAATAGTGCATCAAACATATCACTTTAATTGAGAAAAGGAAAGTCCAAGACTTACAGATGAAATGCCATAAAGGAAAAGCAGGACAAATAATGTAGAATTGCTGCTTAGGTAAAAATATGTAGCTTTCAAACAAAATGTCAGCACCATGCTTAGAATTGTGATGTACATGGTGTACAGCAAACCCCAGGAGAGCCTATGAAGAAAAAGACATTGTTAACCTTCTTGGTAACATTTATTTGATTTTTCTCTACCTCCCCTAAATTATTTCTCCAGTTTAGTTCAATATTATGGTCCAAGCCTAAAGGAGAAAAACACTGATTGCAGGAGAGGGTTCTCTTGTTCAGTAAAACTGAAGCTCTTATCATTAAATGGCATTTGGCAGGCGTGTCATGTTAGGAAATGGAGCCCAGTATGAAGAAGAGTGGAGGCCTTCAATAGACTTTCCTTGTCTACACCAATTCCAGGAATGACAGAAAAATGAAATTATTATTATTTTATTTAAATTTATTGGCTGTCCAACACCAAGGAGCCAAGGATAACTCTTCCAAGCAAAGATAAAGCAGATGTCTCCCTCAACTCTTCCCAGATTGCCGAATCTTGGTAAAACAATGGCAGATGTAATCAAAAAATATCTGCATAAGGTAATATGTTTTGTGGGTCTTTTCCTTTTGCTACTCAGAGCAAGGACTTAAATGCTCTTCTTGACCTCTTTTGGCATCTATTTTGTTTAGAAAGAAGACTGACATCTTGGGCTGATTAAGGTAGTTGCTATAAGGCTCCTTACTCTCCATGGAATTATTTCTATGTTGAAGTCCTAGCTCAAATGTCTTTTTATTTTTGTACCATTTCCATTTTTCTCCATAGCTAATTCTCATTTAAAGAGCAGAGCTGTGGAGTAAAATCCATCTAGAATGCTATTGGGCTTGAATTCTGGTTCTGCCAAAATTGATCCAAGTGATCTAGAATAGGGCTTTTCAACCAGTGGTACGGGTACCACCTGTGGTACATTGGCACATGGCAGGTGGTATGCAACCATCCTAGAAAAGTGGTAGCAGGGGAGAGGAATGAGCTGAACCGGTGGCAACACCGCACAAGCCTGCACGAGAGATGGCTGGAGCTACAGGGCTGTCAGGGCTCAGCGGAAGTGCCAGGATCAGTGCCACTTTCCAGCTGATTAGCGCTTCTTCGGGACTGTCAGGGCTCAGTGGATCAGAGCCAGGCTCCAGCTGGAACTTGGCACTGATCCTGGATGTTTGTTTTTCTAATGAAATGCACCATATTTGTATTATTTGTTTATATGTTTAGTGAATGCAGAGATATATTTGAGAAATTAAAAGAGGTAGAAGCAGAATTAGAAGCAACAGGAAACCTTAGCAGACTCTTTGGTAGAGTTAGTTGCATAAAATACCAAAAAGAATGGGTGAGTTGAAAGGGAGAATTTTAAAGAGAAATGTTCACCTAGAGGAGGAGTAAGCCAACTGTAAACTTCATTAGATCCAATGAGTAACAGCTATGGGAGGACCCAGTTCATAATAAATCCATAAATTGAAGTTACCCTCTCAAATGCCTGCAATACCTTCTCTTCTGGCCAGTATTGGACATCCTTACCCTATGTAAGATAAAAGTCCTAACAATGATCTTTCCCACTGGCTGCCCCATTTGGAGGAATATCTTGCCTGAGGTAATGGTACCCCCAACTTATTGATCTTCAAGAAGGCTCTACTGTTTTTTTCTTAAATATATGAGTGCTAACAGTGGTAAGTTATACATAGGTTTTATTATTTATGATGGCTTTATGTTTAAAGACTTCAAACTTTCTCTTTTGTGGAAAAGTAAGCAACCTTGAGGCTTCAAAATAGGTAGAATACAGCTATTTCTGTAAATAAATAACACTATTTAGCATAAAAACAGACACAGTATGCTGTACATGTGATTGCAGTGCCCTTCAAAATTGGGTAATTCACCAAAGTATTTTGTAAAATTGCAAATGTGAGAATATTTAGTTATATTTAACTAAGTTGCAGAATGGCTAACCATTCTAACCTGTGGTGATGCCATCAGTCATATAAGTGTATTGAGGTTCAAAGGGAATAGAACTCAACATGGAGCTACTATTTACAGCACCAGCTCCATAATCAGAGCTTCGTTAAATTCTGTGCTGAGTTTTCCGGCTGGCATGGATTCATCCTCTTTCTTTCACATAAGAACCTGCTGGATCCAGCTGAGAAAAGGAGACTACAGCCAATTTCATAGCTCACCAGAACGCTGCATCTTGTAGTCCCATTGTCTTCATCACCTCTTTTAATTTCCGTTTCTCTCTTGAAAGAGTTAGTGCCAAGAAATACATAAATGGAGCAAAACATAGCGATAAGATCCAAAGGAACACACCATTTCCTAATTCAAATGCCATGGAAACAGAAGGAGATCTCATACGGATGCCATTAATAGAACTCATTTCTTCCCAAACAGAGTGATTGGTGATCCTCTAAAAGTAAAGACAAAAACATTTTTGAAATTACCGATAACTTTTTCCATAGGTGATTTGGCATGCTTTTTTGTGAGAAGGGTGGCTATACAATTTTGAGAGGGAAAGAGAGAGGCAGTCAGGCAGGCAGAATCTGATCCAGTAAGTAAATGCTGGGAAAAGCATCAGGCATCAGAAGGTCGTGTATACGAAGGGAGGCGCCCCACCTATACCTAGCTCCAAAGAAGGAAAGCCTTCTGATGCCATTTACATGGGTGGGAGGCGCAGGAGAGAGGCAATTACTGTCAAGAAATCGGCACCTAGAACATACTTAGTTACGTCCGGCCCTATGACGAGATCAAAGAGTCGCGCGCACACCCTGGCCAATCTATAAGAGGGACTCTCCCACTAGCCGGCATTGTAAGCCCTGATGATGTTGGCACATGCCGACGAAAGCTAGGCGTTTTTATTAGGTCTTTTAATATTAAATTATTTTATTGCACTCCCTGGTGCTCACGCTTATTTATTGGTTTATATATATATATATTTATTGGTATATATATATATATATATATATTTAAAGTCAATCAGATAAAAATAAAGAACTCTGGGATGTAAGGTAAAAGGCTTTTTTTATTAATTGCTGAGCTTTCGTTAACAATCTGTTAACATCATCAGAGCAAAGGGCTAAATGAGAAGGGGGAGTAAGCGCATAAATTTACATAACAGTTCAACAATGGTTGTAGTGAGGCATGTGCACATAGCGTGCTCAAGAAGCTCTTAAAGGGATAAAGCAGTCAGTCTCAAGACCATTTTCAAAAGTCGCGCCTGTCAGCTGTTCGGCGCGAGGTTCTTAGGGCTTCACGCTCAGTCTCGTGCCGGCTGGATTCCTTCTGTGAGGTGCAGCTTGGGGCTTTTTTTGCTCTGTCGTGTGCAGGAGCTGCGGGGTTGGATCTGTAGGGAGAGAAAGCAGATGCCTTCGTGGGGCATGTGAATGATTTGCCTGTCCTCGCTCCCCCTTTTTAGGAAGCTGTGAAATCGTCTCTGTTAAAGGAGCCAGCCTCTTGGATTGTATAGTTTCTTTGGTGTCGGGTTGCTCTGTGTGTGTGTTTCGTTGGGTACGGTCATTTGGAATGTTTGTGTGTGGTTGTTTGTCATGCTTATTAGTTATGGGTAGTTTTGTGGTGTTTGGGAATTGGGCTGTAATGTTTTGTTCCTTTGAATGTGATAAGTCATATTTCATTGCAGGGGGGAGTTTTGGTCTTGGTCTTAATATTCTGTTGTTACTTGGGTGTTGTGTGTGTATGTTTTGTTGTGTGTGAGTGTCTTGTGAGGTTGCAGGATTTGTGTTTTGGATGTTTGTGTCCTGGATGTTGTGGTCAGGGGGGTTGTTGTTTCTGTGTGTGAGAATATCAGAATGTGGTGTGTTGATTATGTAAGTTGTCATGGTTGTGTTAGAGTTATATTCTTTACTTAGGTTTGATGAAGAGGATTGTGTTGTAGAAAGGATATCTATTGTGTTGGTTTGGGGTTTGATAAGTGGGTGGGGTGGTGTTTTTGTGTTATTATTGGTTGGGTTGAAGTGTTTAGGTATTTTATGTTTTTGTAAATGTCTTTTTAGGGTTTGGTAAGG